TGATGTTGTTTCATTGCGTCTAAATATAAGTGGGACATTCATCAAAGAGCATAAGGACAGCTGAAATTCTCCTGTTAGAGGATAAAAATGAAGCGATTTATCGATACACTGCTGAGACTCGTCCGTGCCAGCTGATACTAGGCTACAGTGCAAGCGCAGTCATATGAAATATACAACGGCAACGTGACTTTAATACCAAGATTTTGTGTCGTGTTGCTTCAAATAAGACAAATATGTCCTTTGTATTCCGTGATAGCTAAAACATGAATTATTTAAATAACATGATTAAATTTGGTAAACAAAAAACTCTTTCAATCGACAGAAACTATGGAAACAGTGTTGAAACGGTGTTGAAACACAGCTGACAGAGGCGCTCGAAAGGCACCAGAAAATGTGAACACTTGTATATATATTGAACAAAATATTGTTAATATTTCAGCTAAAAGGCAGATCAGTGTGTTAACAGGTGAAATAGAAAAACAGATAACAATTAAGTCAACTAAACAAAAACGAAACACTCACCTTTTAATTTAACATACGCTTGTCAAAAAGTCAAAAGTTGAAAAGAACGTGAAGCGTGCTCCAGCCCAATTTTCGGTTTCAAAAGACCCGTTCGCAGGCAAACACTGCGCGCAAAGCAGGCTGGTCATTTCCCATTGTTTAACTGCCCCCACTCAAGTAAACCACAAAGACTCACAGCAACATCCGTGAGTCAAAAAGGTCAAACAGCTAGTTTTGTTCAAAAACCATACTTCGTCGCATTATCTGGCAGAGCCTCCCCAACTTCATTTCAATCTTCTCATCACACCGCGCGCGCTCACTTTTATTCAGGAAACTTCATGTAAGTTATTTGTAGATACTTAAGGAGGCTCTGCGGAGAAGAGAGCTTGTGATTTGTAATTTATGTGTAAACATTTTCAATTAACATGCGTAGAAATCAGATTTTGTTGCAAGTTGCAGCAATTTTGTTGCTCGTGTAACCCCACCTTTACAAGGTACAGAAATTTCTTCGATTAATTATTTATATATTTTTAAAGAGGCTGTCATTCCTGTCAAGTCCGTTCTGCTCATGCGCGTGTTTTGTTTACATTTTTGTGGGCCAACAGATCGGAATTTTAATTAAATTATCGATTGTTTGAAACAAAAAAATGTAATCAAAACACGCGCATGAGCAGAACGGACTTGACAGCCTCTTTAAAATTATATATATAATGGAAATCACGATTATATTTGTCTATACGAATGACTGAATAAATGTAAATAGGGGCCTACATCAATAATTATTAATTACGGTGGTTTAATATGATATTAACTGGTTTGACAATACAATTCGTGTTATGTTTGCCATTTAATATCCAAGTACGTGCTTCCACTTGCATACGAACTCAGGTTTTCAATCACGGAAACAGGGAGTCTCAGAAATACGGAATCTCAAAAACACGGAATGTCCGAAATCTCCGGATATCGAATTTACTTTAATTATAGTTACTTATTATTTATTCAAACTTATTTTAACAAACGGCAAAAACCCTATATAAGGGAGCCATTGACATGCAACATATTGCAAACTACATAATAAAAGTTACAAAAGAACATTTACTTATTATAGAATTACAAAAGTAGCTATTCAGGAAAATGACATCCAAAAGCCCCAAAGCTTCAAAATAGCACTTCCTAGCTTTTGCCGATCTTGGTAAATTATTCCGGATAAAGTAGGTGGGCATGAATACTAGTGAATAGAAACTGAAAATAAAATTACAGTCGAACCCCTATAAGCGGACACCTCTCTTAAGCGGACACCTCTTTTAAGCGGACACATATCGTTTTCTTTAATAAAATACTATTATCATAACCCCTATTAAGCGGACACCCCTCTTTAGCGGACGCGGACACTTTACTTGAGGTCCCAAATGTCAAACCAACCTCTCTGAGCGGACAGATTGTCTGATAAAATGTATTGAATATTCGACAGTAAATAACAATTCAGATCAATTTACATGGCACACTGACAGTGACACACCAACTTGGCGCGAAGACATCAGAGCCAAGATTATTGAGGAAATGACGAACGAGGACGGAGGACTGTGAACCGCCAGCCGAGGAGCCGAAAGATATGTGTCAGATCACTGATGATGACAACGAGGTCCCGAAGGTGTCTGCTTAATAGGGGTTCGACTATATACAAATTTCATCTCTTCATAACAGCTATTCGAGTAAAAGCGCGTAAACTAGCTATTAGGCCGCGTTTACACTATGACGCTACGGCAAATTTACCGTAGCGTAGTGATAGTTAATACGCTACGGCAAACCACTCCGTTATAGTGTAAATACAATACTAAGAAACGCAGTGAATTTTTAACGAAATTGATTTCCGTAGTTAGTACGCTACGGCAAATCACTCCGTTATAGTGTAAACACGATATAATTCCGTATAGATAGTACGCTACGGCAAATCACTCCGTTATAGTGTAAACACAATATAGTCTCAATAGCCTACTAGAAACGTAGTGAATTTTTAAAGGAGTGTTAGCCGTAGCGTCATAGTGTAAACGCGGCCTTAAAATGGTCAATTTTGATACTTGGAATCCTGGAATCTCGGAAGTCCCTTCTCGGCCATCGTACCTCACATTTAGTTACTCCAATGTTAGTATATTGGTCCAAACAATGCTAATTCACCAGAATAATATTAAAGCCAGATCCATCAGGAGAAGCTATACATGGTTGGCAAGTGAACGTCTTCAAAGTAAATCACTTTGCTTTCATAAATTAATTTAGTATATACTGTATTGCCTCAGCTGCTCGTGATAATTAATGTCAACATCTGAAAGTTCAAGGTTGTTGTTGTTCGTAAAAGAAAAAGGTACCAATGTACTTGTACATATCATGGTAAAATTGCTATTTCAACTTTGAAAAGTCGCTTTTGAAGCAAGACAGTACCCACAAAATGGAGACATTTAGCCTGCGCGAGAAAGGCTAATCGGCGTGTATAATGGATGATTCCAGCTATAGACTAAATTTTGATCTAGGCAAGAAGAACAAGATCCATTACCTTAGCTTAGCTGGAAAGAGCATCGTAGGATGAGTATGACTGCAAAGTTTGGTTGCGAAATGTTGCAAAATGTGGAAAATATAGCCCTGCGAAGTTCATAAATTTTGTATATAATTGCATTACGCGCGGGAAAAATAACCATTTTTGAGCCGAAAGTGGTTATATTCACAGCGAGTAATGCAAATATATCTCAATACATCGCAAATTTATTTTGTCCAAACTCTAAAGCTGCTGTCATAATTAAACGAGTCAACCTGGCTAGGTCGGTTCATGTACTGTATAAACTCTAAAACTGAGCATACTTGTCAGAGCGGTGTTACAGAAATCAGTTGTTATTTCCAGAGATAGAAAATAAATTTGTCTAATATTGCTGACTCTTCTCTTTCGTCATGTTTTCTTCCGCTGCTTCAAAAATATGAATGTTTTTTACGTAACGCGAGTCCAACAAATCTTTCATCTCCACTGCCGCTTTGGCATATTTCGCAGCTTCTTGGCTATCAGGTTTCCAGGAGCGATATGTTCTTGCCAAAGCATAATATACATTCGCTGTACAAGGGCGTTTTTCACCGAGCTTTTCAGCTATGTTCCGAGCTTCGTGTAACGTTTCCACTGATTCCTCGAAGCGACCACGATAAAAAAGGCACGATCCGTAATTTTTCAGCAAGTACATAAAAGGCTCGTTAAAATCAAGTTGCAGTTTCTTGCGCAGCTTTATGGCATCGGAATAATACATCAACGCCTCTTCGTTCTTTATGTATAAGTCTCCTAACAATTTATGGCAAGTACACGTTAATTCGTGATCGCCCAGCGACTCTTTAGCTGACGACAAAGCTTGATTGTAAAGCGCTTTTGCACAGTTCGTGTATTCTTCGCGCTTTTCTTTATATTTAGTGGCACGTATTTTGTTCAACTCAGCACGCCGGATTAAAATAAGTACCTCGTGAGCATTATCCGTTGGGTTTCGTGCTTTGTTTTCAGACAAAGGTGCAAGATCAGCTTCTGAAAGATCAGGACATGGCGTATTTGTTGGTTTGTGAGAATAATATCGGGCGTAAAAATAGTAACAATAGCTATATAAGGACCTATCTTCTTTCAACGCTGTCTCGTTTCTGCCAAAGGCTTTCTTGATAGCCTCCATTCTGGTGATATATTCAGGAGATTTCCATGCAGATTTATAACCTTCTTGATCTGCTACTAGACACTGAAATGTGATCTGAATGGCTACTTGCTCTCGACCTCCGGCTAGCATTATGCAGGATTCATGGAAATTCCTTAAAACAGTCCGTGGAAGAAGATCCCAGACAAAGTTGGAAAAGAACCTGGATGAAGACTTATAAACATCACTACTAACCAAGGATTCGATGACGTGTGGATTCACATTTGTTACTTCATTTTGGCAGCATACTTTTAACGTTTCTTCGACATTGTGGGCGTCTTTCTTCACTAACTTTCGGGCATCAGTAAATCCGTCTTTGGAGTAAGATTTCATGGTCAACAAATGGCACATGTTTAGAAAATGTTTTACCATCAATCCTTCTCCTATTACCTTTTCACCTTGATGTTGATCATGATCGGCCAGAAATCGTCGAATAAGCGAGTGAATCACGAAGCGCTTATCACTGCTACGCTGTATTAAACTTCGAGCAACGAGCTGCCCTAAGAAATTTTGGGTTTCCAAACCATCTCTCTCGATTATCTCTTCAGCAGACTTCTTTTGGAAATTTCCATTGAACACCGAAAGACGAGCAAACGCTTTCTTGTCTTCATTAGTCAACATTTTAAAAGAGACCTCGATGGTTTTTCGGACGCACTGGCTATTGTCAGTTGACTGCAAAGTTTTCATAGGTTTCACTTTTAACCATTGAATCAACTCAAAAGAATCATCAAGATCTGCAATTCGAGATCCCGCGACAGACATAGCAAGGGGAACAAAACCACACAGGTTAGCCAACTCAGACAAGTATCCATCTTTTATTTCTTCATCAGGGCAAAACTTTCTGAAAAGTTCGACACTAGATTTTTCATCCAACTCTCCTATCGGAATGCTTTTGGTGGGTTGGTTAGGAATTGAGAATGCGGTCCTTGTCGTTGCTAGGATCTGCAACTGTTGCTCTGAATTCTTGCGGAGCGTGAGCACTAATTCAGTAAATTCGGATCTTACTTCTTCTTCAAGCAGTTGCTCGATGTTATCCATAACAAGGACGACTCTCTCCTTAATATTCTTTAACCACAACGTAAACGATAATTTAGAATCTTCTCCAGGATTAACGCCAACGTCCTGACAGAGACGTAGAAAAACATCAGGCACAGCTGAAACATTTGACAGGTATGAAAAAATGACGATGATGTCATGATTATCGATCAGATGATGGGACACTTCAATTGCAACGGTGCTTTTGCCAAACCCTGGGCCACCAACAATGGAGACAATTCCACAGCCGTTCTTCTCCGTCAAGGAGGAAATAATTTCCTTTACTTCGGCGTCACGCCCAATGAACGTACAAGGTTTGTCAGGTATGCAGTTTTTTATTTGCGCCCGTCGTCCAGTTTCTTGAACATTCGATATTTGTAATTGGCTGATGAGTTTTTCGAGATTCTCCAACCTTTTCTCGTTTTCCTTGATGATCTGTCGGTCGAAGATTTGATTTTCTTTTAATTGGCTGACATCTGCAACTAACTCATTACGCAGTAAATTTACAGCATCTAACTCGGCTTTTACGACATTGGTTACTCCGTTAGCTTGTACAAACTTGATCTTCTTTATACACTTCTTGACTTCGTTACAGCGGAAAATAATATCAAGGTCGGCAAGAATCTTATTGGCAGTGTCAAAAGCGTTGTTGAGATCAACATTGGTAAACTCTTGATTTGGTGAATGCGCCCAAGGGTTTCTAACTCCTGAACGTAGCTTTCTAACAAGATCGAGATCCACACGCTTGTCTGGAGAAAAAATGACATAATCCATCCACTCAAGGACGTTTAGAAGAGATGACAAATCAGTGGATTCTGCGTCTTTGACGGTTCCCTTGTTGTGTCCAAGGATAGGCATAAAAAACTTGGCTACCTCCCATGGATCAACAGGCCACTTTGATGTGTCGCAGTTTTCACGCCATTTTATCTGTCGTTTATTTGGTTTTTTTATGCCATTTAGCAAGTTCCTGGTACCACTGGTTGCAAGAGTGGCAAAGATTTTTATGGACTGTTTCTTTCTCGCACATTATAGGATTTGCGCATCCCCCTTTTAAAAGACAACACAGCTTGGCATGCCAATTTTTTACGATCTGGCCAGTGTACAAAACAAGAGGTTTCCTAATTAGATTGATTACTTCTCCAACGGTTATCCAGTTGTTGTGATCGTTGGACGGATTCATTTTTGAAGAAGTAGAATTCTTAAAAGTAAAGCAAATAAAATACGATAAACAAATGCAACAAAAAATCAGTTAAGGGACCGGTCATTATTTATGGCAGGGGTGGGGGCCGAAGAGAAAATGGTGGGGTAACTGAAAAATAATAGTTGCTTTAGGTGGGGTGGCCAAAAAATCCTTGCATGCAGAGGTGGGGTAAAAAAAAATAACCTTACTTTAATCACACACAATACAATATATACTACTATCAGAATTTAATATGTGATTATTCTAATTTTTTAATAAAATATTATTGCTTTCCAAAATGTTGACAGAAACACCACCCTCAACCCACTCGTAAAGGGTCATTTTTATATTCATTTACACACAAAATCTCCAAAGACTCCAATTACCAGACAAAATATATACTGCCTATATATAGGGGCTGTTTATATGGTGCAACTGCAAGCCATCCCCAGGGTACCCAA